GATGAGGTCTCACCAAGTTGCCCAGGCGGGTCTCGAACCCGCGGGCTCAGACAATCCACTTACCTCAGCTTCCCAAAGAATGGGATTACAGGCTGAGCCACCGAGCCCGGCTTCAAAACTGTTTTGAGCAGTGGAAAAACTAAAAGGCATCAAAATGGATAAGTTCAAAATAGTTTTGAGCAGTGGAAAGAGTGTCTCCATTAGGGGTATTGCATCAAATGTGACTGATGTTTAAACATGTAAGAATACACAATAGCTAGGTGTGGTGGCTCATGCTTGTAATCCCAGCACTTTGGAAGGTGGAGGTGAGAGGACTGCGTGAGCCCATGAATTCAAGACCAGCCTGGGTAACTTGGCGAGACCTCATCTCTACAATAAATCAAGAAATTAGCTAGGTGTGGTGGTAAACTCCTATAGTTCCAACTACTTGGAAGGCTGAGGTGGAAGGATTGCCTGAGCTCAGCAGATCAAGGCTGTGAGCATGCCACTGCACTCCAGCCTGGGTGACAGAGAAAAACTCTGACCAAAGAAAGAAAAAAATAAATATACAATTTTTAATAAATAAATTTTGGGTTTTTGGTCCTTCCTTGTGTAAAAACAAATGTCATATAGTTCTCCCCTATATACACTAATTTTATACATATGATAGCCTACTATACTATATATAATTACATAGCTTTTTAAAATAGCAATACACTTGGTGATTTTTCCATATTATATGCTGTAGAGCTAAAAGTGAGTATCTGGCCAGGAACAGTAGTGTAAGCCTGTAATCTCAGCACTTTGGGAGACCGAGGTGAGAGGATTGCCTGAGCTTGGAGGTTCGAGATCAGCCTGGGCAACTTGGTGAGACCTTTTCTCTAAATAAATCACAAAAACTAGTTGGGTGTGGTGGCATGTGCCTGTAGTTCTGGCTACTTGGAAGGCTGAGGCAGAAAGATCACCTGAGCCCAGCAGGTTGACGCTGGGGTGGCCGTGAGTGTGATTCTATCTTGGATGCTAATCCACAATGTTCACTTCTGATTAGCCCCAGCCCTGTGTAAATGCCTTCTGATTTCTACCTTATTTACTGTCCCTATGGTAAGAATATGTACTCCTGCTTTTAGAGCCAAGCAACCTTGATGTTATTACACAAATTACAGGCTATGACGCATACAGTATTCTTGCCCATTCTGGAGAGTTGCCTTGAATTGCCTTGCTGGAGCACATACTCCCCTTCCCTACAGTGTATAAGCACTGGATCTGGGAAGTAATAGTACAGAGATCTATCTGTCTTGTGACTGCCTGAGACTATGCTTCTGTCTGTAAATTCCCTCAATAAATCACCCCAAATTGACAAACTGGATTTATCTGCCTCCTTTGGTTTCTCAGCTCCTCCTGCATTTGGGAGTCACTTTTTATATATGGCCCTTTCATGGAACATATGCACATATTGACTTGCTGTCTTTTTCACAGTTGCATACCAGTCCACTGGAAGGACATACCATAATATCTTTAACCAGCCCCTTACTGATGAACATTTAGGCTTATTCTAATCTTTTGCTATTATAAATAATACTATTATCACCAATGTCCATAGATTAAATTATGTAACGTGGATTTGCTAGGGCAAAGTTTATTAGTACGTGTCTGTTTTTCTGCTATTAGACCAATCTATGCTTCCAATAGGAATGTGTGAGAGCACCTGGTTTCTCCACAGTGTGGCTAAGTTCATGAATAACACCTCAAAGCAAAGAAGTCTCTTATAAATCAAGTACCTATTAGCATATTGTCTAGCAACAATAATAGACTCCTTAATAAAAATGACTTATGAATTTCAAAAAGAGATATATTTTTAAATTTACATGTTAAAGTATTATTTTTTTGTTGTTGGATAAATTGCTTTTAAAATGTGTTTGCTTATCTTTTATAGATCCTTGAGTCACCTAAATTCAACCTGGTACATAATAGGTGCTCAATAAACATTTGTTGTGTGATTAGTTTTCAGCAGGATAGTTGTTATCCCTCTAATGTAATCCTGACCCAACCTTTACAATGGTCTGGCATCACATTCCCCACAAACATTCAGCAAATGCCAGTGAATGGTGGCCCTTGTCTAACAGAAGGGCTTTCTGTATCAATCCCAATCCCTGGCTTCTAGGCCCCTGCATAGCCACACAGCGTGAGAGAGGTGAAGATGCAGAATGACTCCAGGGCAATGACAGTAGACAGTCACCTGAGACCAGCGCAGGTTCCTTAGAGCTGCTCCATTTGGCTCTGCCCAGGGAGAATTCTTACTTAAAGATATTTGTTTGCTTGTTTGTTTGGAGTTGGAATCTCACTGTTGTGCAGGCTGGAGTGCAGTGGCATGCTCACCTCCACTGCAGCCTTGACCTGCTGGGCTCAGGTGATCCTTCTACCTCAGCCCTCCAAGTAGCTGGAACCACAGGTGTGCGCCACCACACCTGGCTAATTTTTTAACTTATTATGGAGACACAGTCTTGCCAAATTCCCCAGATTGGTCTCAAACCCCTAGACGGGCAATCCTCTCATCTCCTTCTCCCAAAGTGTTGGGATTACAGGCGTAAGCCACTGCACCTGGCTCTTACTTAAAGATATTTAGTCTTCATTTCACAGACAAAAGCATCACCTCACTGGCTTCTCTGTCAAGTATACATGCTAAACTTTTGAACCTGCCACACAATTTACAAAAGAGAATATTTCCAATACTTCTGAAGTCTATTCTGTGACCCTTTTTGATTATATTCCATCCCTTGCCACTAGAGAAGACCAATATCCTGAATTTTGTGTTAATCGTTTCCGTGCTTTTTCTTTTTAATAATGTATACCTCTCTATGCAATAATTTTCTTTATTTTTTTATTTTTTGTGAGACAGGGTCTTTCTATATTGCCCAGGTAATCCTCCGACCTCAGTCACTCAAGTAGTTTGGACTATAGGTGCCTGCCTCCATGCCCAGTTAATTAAAAAAACATTTTTTGGGGGGGGCAGAGTCTTGCTATGTTGCCCAAGCTGGTCTCAAACTCCTGGCTTCAAGGGATTCTCCTGCCTCAGCCTCCCATGTAGCTGGGATTACAGGCATGAGCCACCACACCTGACTTCCATATGATCATTTTTATTTTGCACTATTTTGACCTTTTTATTTTTATTTTTTGAGTTGGAGTCTCATTCCGTCACCCAGGCTGGAGTGCAGTGGCACGCTCACGGCCACTCCAGCATTGACCTGCTGGGCTCCGGCAATCCTTCTGCCTCAGCCTTCCAAGTAGCTAGAACTACAGGCATGTCCTACCATGCCTGGGTAATTTTTTAAAAATTTATTGTAGAGATGAGGTCTCACCATGTTGCCCAGGCTGGTCTCAAACCTGTGGGCAAAGGCAATCCTCTCGCCTTGGCTTCTCAAAGTGCTGGGATTACAGGCTTGAGCCATTGCTCCCAGCTGACTTTTTACGCAATGGAATCATACTGTGGTTTTTGTGGCTTTGGAAAAAAATTCACTATTGTATTGAACTACAGTTATGTACCTGTAGTTTACTCATTTTCACTGTTGAATGCTATTGAATAAATATATAATTTATTTATTTGAACTTGTTTTGGGGACATTTGGGTTGTTTCTAGTTTTCTGCTATTTGGAACAATGTTATTATAAACATGATTGTATTCCTATCTCCTGATATGTATGTGTAGTATAATAGTTATAGCATCAACAGATCATAGGAACAATGTTACTATGAACATAATTATATTCTTGTCTCCTGATACATATGTCTAGTATAATACTTTCAGAACTGCAGAAGATTTCCTCAAGTCCTGTACCAGTTAATACCCCTCACAAAGATAACCACTATTCTATATCCATAGCTTAGTTTTATCTCTTCTTGAACTTCATATAATTAGAATCATAAAGCATGAACTCTTTTGTGCTGGTTTGAAAAAACTCAATATTAGATTTTTTAGTTTGATTCAGATTGTTGTCATCTACCTTTTGATGTTTGCTTTACATTTATATGGGTTGATGAAATGATTTTTTAAAGATATAATACAGTAAGTCTCCTACATATGAACCTTCAAGTTGCGAACTTTCAAAGCTGTAAATGTGTATTTGCATATCCAATTGTATGAGTTAGTTCACATGTCTGGTGTACATTGTCATGTGTATGCAACCTCTACAGGTGGTTGTGCTTTTGTGTACTTTACTGTACAGTAATGTATAGAGTACCATAGTACAGTGTCTTTATTTCAAGCCCAGGATGTCCAGAAGCAAGTGTAAAAGCAGTGGTGATGTAGCTTGAATTGCTAAGAAGCACCAAGCGATAATGATAGAAACAAAAGTGAAAATAACTGAGAGTGTGGAGTAAGGCAAAAAGATGGGAGATGTCGCTTGTTCTTATAACATGAATCGTTCATGAACCTTGGTACAATTCTAAAGTACAAGGACAAGATCGTGGAACATGTGAAGTCTGTTGTGCCAATGATGTCAACAATAACATGAAGAAGTGTGGAAAAGTTACAGAGGAGATGGAGAAAGTTCTCAGTGTGTGGATGCAGGATTAGCATTAGCACTGAGTCCCACTCAGCTTAATACTGACTCAAGAGAAACTTAAAAGCTTTTATGAAGACCTGAAGAAGAACACAGTGAAGAATCAGAGGGCATATATTTTAATGGCAGCCATGGCTGGTTTCATCAGTTCAAGGCTAGAGCCAGCCTTCCCAAGGTAAAAGTAAGTGGCAAGACAGCAAGTGCAGATACTATAACATCCCGGGAATTTCCTGAAACACTTTGAGAAATTATTGATGAAGGTGTGTATTTACCCAAGTAGGTTTTAAATGTGGACAGGACTGCACTGGAAGAGGATGCCAGACTAAAGTTACGTTAGTAAGGAGGAAAAGTTGATGTCAGGCTATAAAGCAGCAAAAGACAGGAAATTTTGTGGTTTGGTGGCAATGCTTCCAGCGATATGAGGTTGACGCCTCTCTTAGTTTATCATTCAGAGAACCCAAGAGCCCTTAAAAACATAGCCAAGGGCTCTCTTCCTGTTATGCTGTTGTGTGGCAGAGTAACGCCAAAGCCTGGGTTACACGGGCCATTTTCCAGGATTGTTTTTTCCACCACTTTATCCCAGAGGTAAAGAAATATTTCTTGGAGAAGGACACCACATTCAACATTCTTTTGCTGCTCAACAGTGCCCACCCTCTCATTCATGGACGACTTTCATTACAACATCAAAGTTGTACATCTGCCACCAAATACTACATTGCTCATCTAACCTATGGACTAGGGAGTTACAGTGACTTTCAAGAAACATTATTTACGTCACACTTTTCGTCAGGCAGTAAAGACAAGTGACAAATCAGGAACAATCCCGCAACAATTTCAGAAGGACTATAACGTCTACAAGACCATAAAAAACATTGCCTATGCTTGGTGTGAGGTCACAGCTGTCACCATGAATGGGATTTGGAAAAAACTTTGCCTGAAGTTTGTTCACGATTTTTGTGGATTTGAGAAGGTGGATGAGAAGTCCAAAGAGGTCTTCAACAACGTAGTGACCCTCAGTGAGAAGCAGGAGTTCGACCTTCAAGTGGACGACTTCAATGATCTCCTTGCTGTATAACGCGAGGAGCTTGCTAATGAAGACCTGATGGAGTTGGAGGCCCAGAGAAAGGATGAAGAGACACAAGAGGAAGAAGTAACTGAAGAACCAAAGAGATTCATGACTCAGGAAATGGTCTGGGAATTTTCTTTGTTTGAGGAAGCACAGGATTCAAATGTAGAATGGTACATGAAAGTTGTAGCAGTCATTCAGAATGCAGTGCTACCATATCATCTATGATGGGATAAAAAGAGCTACTACCCAGACATCACCGAATCATGTTTTTCAAGAGGGTAGACAGAATTGAATCCAGTCCTGTGCTATCCACGTCAGGCATGAGTGACATTGCAGCTTGCCCTCCATCTCCTGTTGCTGATGATCCTTCATCTCTGCCATCTCCCACCTCCTCTCACTCCTCTAGTCGGTAACTCTTCTTGCCTGTTCACTAGATGCCAGTCTCTGTATGCCAGCTGTTGTACCGTACTACCGTACTTTTCAAGTACTGTACTGTAGATTAAAAATGTTTCATTTTTTTGTGTTTGTTTTCTATGTATTATTTGTGTGAAAGGTGTTAAAAACATTACAGTATAGTACTATATAGATGATTGTGCTAGTTGGGTACCTAGGCTAACTTTGTTGGACTTATGAACATGTTCTTGGAACGGAACTCGCTTGTATGTAGGGGACTTAACTGTATTTTCAGACAAACCTGCAGATCCAAATGTGTCACTGTTATATACTACTGCCACTTGGTGTTAGGCAATCTAAAATGCAAGGGTAATATTTCAAAATGGTTCATTCATAGAAAATCCCTTTACAAACTTACAAAATAAAAATGATATTTTGATATGATAAATGTGCTAATTATCCTGATCTGATCACCGTACAGCATGTGTATTAAAATATCACTATGTACTCCTTGGACATGTGCAATTACTATCTGTCAATTAAAAAATAAAACAAACAAAAATTATAAAAACAGTCAATCCAAATGAGAGGAGGAGAAGTCCTCTCCAATTAGAAAATATAAAACAAAAGTAATATGAGCTCAGTTGATTCAAGTTCATGTTATAGCTTTAATAAAACTTACCTTTTTAAGTTCATGCAGTTTTAAAAAAACATACAAGATTTACTGGAATTGCTGGAGCAAGTGAAATCAAAAGAGAAGAAAACATGGGATGAGCAAAGAAAAAAACCTTAGAATTGTATCATATCTATTTCTTAAAATCCTCAGGGAAACAGGGTTTCAGTAGGGGTATTCAGTACATGCTATTAATTAAGTGTGAGAATAATTACCTTTTCTTCTGCATCAGCAACTTTAGATTTCTCCTGAGCCAGCTTTTCCTGTAGGTTGTTCTGTGATTTAATGCTCTGAGTCTGTTCAAGTACTTCCAGCTCCAGTTCCTTGATTTTCTGCTGACAGTGCTTCCACTCTGCCGTGAGTGAAGAGCACATCTTTGCACTGTCTAATAACTTCTGCTGGGCCTGCTTTAGCTCAATTTTTAGCTAAAGGTGGAGAATAAATAACAGTAATAAAACTAAGCACAGAATGAGTGTGAGCTAGAGTAAGCAGCTTTCAAAGAAGTGCAGTCTCCCAGAAGCTAGTAAATACCAGTATTACATGACTGGTTACCTCTCTGGAACTTCTGTGTGTTAGTGAGGTTTGTTAAAGTTTATCTGGCCAGATGGATGCTAGATAAAGGAATTTTCTTAGGAATCTCTAGGCATGCATGGTGTAAACATTTTCCATCCTTCAATCTACCCCAGGCTGGCTTTCATCTCCACTACTCAAATGAAACTGTCTTTGCCAATGGCAGTAACTGACCTCTCCAGTGCCAAAATAAATCCAATGAACACTGACCTCTCAGGAACATTCACTCCATCTCAGAAAGTCCTCTTCTCTTGGCATCTCTGATACCAAACTCTGGGGTTATTCTTTCATGGTCTCCTTTGTAAACTCTTCCAGTGCTACCCAACCTCTTAATACTACTGGACTCGCCAGGTATGGTGGCTCATGCCTGTGATCCCAGCGATTTGGAAGGCCGAGGCAAGGGGACTGCCTGAGCTCAGGAGTTTGAGATCAGCCTGGGCAACATGGCAAGACCTCGTCTCTACAATAAACAAAAAGCCGGGCTCGGTGGCTCAGCCTGTAATCCCGCGCCTCTGGGAGGCTGAGGTGAGTGGATTGCCTGAGCCCGCGGGTTCGAGACCCGCCTGGGCAGGCGAGACCTCATCTCCACAATAAATCAAAAAATCAGCTGGGCGTGGTAGCGCACGCCTGTAATTCCGGCTAATCGGAAGGCTGAGGCGGAAGGATCGCCGGAGCCCAGCAGGTCAAGGCCACGGTGGCCGGGAGCGGCACTGCACTCCAGTCAGGGCGACAGAGTGAGACTCCAACTCAAAAAAAAAAAAAAAAATTACCTGGGTGTTGTGGTGTGTACCTATAGTTCCAGATACTTGGAAAGCTGAGGCAGAAGAATCACCTGAGCTCAGCAGGTTGAGGCTGTGATGGCCATGGGAGACAGAGTGAGACTCTCACTCAAAATAAGTACATACATAATTTTTTTTTTTTAAACTGTTGAGACGAGGTCTTGCCAAGTTGTCTGGACTGGTCTCAAACTCACAGGCTCAGGCAATCCACTTGCCTCAGGCTCCCAAAGTGCTGGGATTACAAACTGAGCCACTGAGCCTGGCCATACATAAATATTATTGGACTCCTCCAGGTCTAGAGAGTGGATGAGTCTCTCCCTAGGGTTATCGCTATGATTTGAAATGCCATTTTTATGCCAACAACTGCCAAAATGAAAATCCTTGATTCTGCCCTTATCTCCAAAGTCCTTTTCTCTCTCTGTCTTCCCGATGTCAGTAAATAATGCTACCATCCAACCTTCTGCCAGGCTAGTAATCTGAGTCATCCTTGAGTCTTCCTTTTCCTTCACGAGCCAATTCTATTTAGCACATGCTGTCACTTTACACCCACAGCATATCTTGCATCAATCAATTTGTGTCATTTTAACCACCACCCTCGTCTACATCACCATCTCTAGTCTGGACGATAGCAATAGCCTCTGCATTTGTCCTGCCACTTTCATTTTTTGCTACTTTCTAATCTATTCTCTATGCTGCAGTCAAAGTCTTCTTTTAAAAACACAAGTTGCAGCCGGGCTCAGCCTTTAATCCTGCGCCTTTGGGAGGCTGAGGTGAATGGATTGCCTGAGCCCGCAGGTTCAAGACCTGCCTGAGCGGCGAGACCTCATCTCTACAATAAATCAAAAAAATTAGCCGGGCGTGGTAGCGCATGCCTGTAATTCTGGCTACTTGGAAGGCTGAGGCGGAAGGATCGCCGGAGCCCAGCAGGTCGAGGCTGCGGTGGCCGGAAGCGGCCACTGCACTCCAGTCTGGGCGACAGAGTGAGACTCCAACTCAAAAAAACCCCTCCCAAAACAACAACAACAACAACAAAACACAAATTGGGCTGGGCTTGGTGGCTCAGCCTGTAATCCCAGCACTTTGGGAGGCCGAGGCCAGTGGATTGCCTGAGCCCGCGGGTTCGGGACCCATCCAGGCAACTTGGCAAGACCTCGTCTCTACAATAAGTCAAAAATTAGCCATGTGCGGTAGTGCCCACCTGTAGTTCCGGCTACTTAGAAGGCTGAGGCAGGAGGATCACCGGAGCCCAGCAGGTCGAGGCTAGGTGGCCGTGAGTGTGCCACTGTAGTCCAGTCTGGGTGACAGAGTGAGACTTCAACTCAAAAAAACCCCCCAAAAAACAAAAAAGAAAAACACAAGTTGGGCAGGGCACAGTAGCTCAAGCCTGTAATATCAGCACTTTGGGAGGCTGAGGCGAGAGGACTGCCTGAGTCCAGGGATTCAAGACCAGCCTAGACAACTTGGCGAGACCTCGTCTCTACAATAAATCAAAGAAATTAGCCGGTGGCACCCGCCTGTAGTTCCAGCTACTAGGAAGCCTGAAGCGGAAGGATTGCCCAAGCCTAGCAGGTTGAGACTATGGTGACTGTGAGTGTGCCACTGCAGTCCAGTCTGGGTAACAGATTGAGACTTCGACTCAAAAAAAACCCCCCAAAAACACAAATTGAACTACTAGACTCTCCCCTGCTTAAACCCTTTCAGTGGTCCTTCACTCCAACTTTGCACAGTTTGCTTTTCCTTGTATGATCTGGCCCTTGCCTACCTCTTTAAAATCACTTTATTATCTCCCCGTCTCCCATTGGACTCCTGACATGCTGATTTCTATTTAGAGTTTCTAACACACCAACTCTTCCCATACTTCCCTCTGCCAGGAATGCTTTCCCTTTTCCCTCCTCCTTGCATGGTGGCCTGCCTGTTTTTCAGGGCTCAGCTTAAATGTCATTTTGCAGGGGGAAATTTCCATGATTATTTAATCTGAAGAGATCGTCTTACTCATAATATCCCTACACCACATTTATTTCCTTCACCAAACTTATCACAACTTATAATTAAGCATGCATGTACCTACTTCTTTATCAACCTTCTTCCCCACTTTAAATTCCCAAAGCAGAGACTACATTTCTTATTCACTTCTCAATGCCTGAGGTCTATCAAAGTGTCAGAGAGTAGGTGATTAATCGTTATTTACTGAACAAGTAAATGAATGACATTCTAAGGGATATGAGTACCTGACGAGTGTATATACTAGGCAAGGACGGCTCGCAGACAAAACTGGTGAGAGAGAATTTACTTTGTCCTCATGGAAAACAGAATTATCTGGTCTCAAAGTTTTTCAGTTGAATGAATGGGGATTACAACTATAATGTCCGCCATCTGTAACTTCTGGATTATATCAAGTGAATCTGAAAATTAATAGGGTTCAGTCTTTTTGAACACCAGTTTATTCATCTGTCTTATAAGAAAATAATGACTTATCTCACAGGATAATGGAGAGGCTGCATTAAATAAGACAAAGCAATAAAAACATCAAGCATAGAGCCAGACTCACAGGAAACACCTAACAAAAGTTAACTGTTTTATTTAAGAACAATGATAGAATATCTACTGTATTTGAAATACAGAACTGAGACATACAGTAATATTAACATTTAACATTTGTCGGGCTTTCTCATTTATAAAGTGACTGGGATTAGTATTTTACACCATTTTAGAGATGAAAAAACCGGAGTCTTTTAGAGTTGGCAAATGATAGAGCCAAGGTCTGAATACAGATTTTCTGATTTGAATCTGGTACTCCAAAATATATTGACTCCAATTATGAAAGACAGTTGAATGTGGTAGCTCATGTCTGTAAACCCAGCCTTTGGGAGGCTGAGGCAGGAGGATTCCTTGAGGCCAGCCTGAGCAACATCGCCAGAACTTGTCTCTACAAAAAATCTAAATAAATAAATAAACAAAATGTGAAAGAAATACAGGTATCTAATTCTCTAAAAAGAATACAATGGAGTGGATCAATAGAGTTAAAATTTGGTTCTTTGGAAAGTCTAGTAAAATGAATAAACTTCTAGTTAAGGAAAAAGCAACAATGCACAGGTAACATATAATAAAAGTAAGATTTTTTTTTTTTTTGATTTGGAGTCTCACTCTGTCACCCGGCTGGAGTGCAGTGGCACGCTCACAGCCTTTACCTGTTGGGATTAGGCAATCCTTCTACCTCAGCCTTCCAAGTAGCTGAAACCACAGGCGCACGCCACCATGCTAAGCTAATTTTTTGATTTATTGTCGAAACAAGGTCTCGCCAAGTTGCCCAGGCTGGTCTTAAATCCCTAGACTGAGGCAATGCTCTCGCCTCTGCCTCCCAAAGTGCTGGGATTATAAGAGTGGGCCACCGTGCCAGCCACCATATCTTTTTTAAAAGAAAATATGATGAATACATTTCTGTAATTTTCTTTTTTTGAGTTGGAGTCTCATTCTATTGCCTAGGCTGGAGGGCAGTGGCACGCTCACAGCCACCGCAGCCTCGGCCTGCTGGGCTCAGGTAATCCTTCCACCTCAGCCTTCCAAGTAGCTGGAACTACAGGCATGCGCCACTATGCCTGGCTAATTTTTTTTTTTGAGTCAGAGTCTCACTGTTGCCTAGGCTGGAGTGTAGTGGCACACTCGGCCACGGCAGCCTCGACCTGCTGGGCTCAGGCGATCCTTTCAACTCAGGCAATCCTCTCATCTCTGCCTCCCAAAGTGCTGAAATTACAGGTGTGAACCACCGTGTTCAGCTATTTCTATAATATTTTTAGAGGTTTAAATAAAATGGAAAATTTTCCAGAAAAATAAAAATACAAAGTTGATACAGGAAATAAAAAGAACTTGATTTCTTATAACTATTAAAGAGATAGAACCAGCAATTGAAAGCCTTCTCAAAACAAAACTCTAGAATCAGAAGGCTTCAGTAATGAGTTCTTATAATAATTTAAGAAATCATTATAATTTTATACAAACTCTTCCAGAGAATGGAAAAAGAGGGTACACTATCTATTTTATTTTATTTTTGAGTCAGAGTTTCACTCTCATCCAGGTGG